TGCAGGTTTAGGGAGAAATAATTCCACGTTTATTTGCGTCCTAAAGCAGGCCGCTTTGTGTTGTCAACGGCGCAGCTCTCTGCTTAACGGAAATAATCATAAAACTCCCCTTTTTTTAACGTTTACTTACTTTTGAGAGAAAGAGACAGAGCATGAGCAGGGGAGGGGCAGAGAGAGGGGGAGACACAGAATCCGAAGCAGCCTCCAGGCTCCAAGCTGTCAGCACAGAGCCCGACGTGGGGTTGGAACCCATGAAACCATGAGATCATGACCTGAGTCGAAGTCAGACACTCAACCGACTGAGCCACCCAGGCGACCCAATCATAAACTCCCTTAAGCAAACCCAAGATGACTAGATTTAAGGCCCCAGGCTCATCCCAATTATTTATGGGATTTTATATTATGCTCCTGTCTTTTAGAAAGAGTTGATGTATTAAACAGCTCTATGGAATAACATTTCTGCACCTTTTGTAAAACAGCTATTAAAGGCAACACACATTATCTTAGTGTTTGTTACTCAAGGATCCCTAATAATAAAGTTCTTGCAGGTATAAATTCCATGAGATGAAAAAGTTTGTTCATTTGTTTGTTTTCTTTTGGGATGAACTGAATTGAAACCTTTGGAGAGTTATTGAAGCTATGTAATTACGGTCATTGGCCACCACATTTCTAGAGTTGCAGATTGTATTCATCTCCTCAGATTGCTTCCCATTGGCTCTTTTGCTAGCATTAACACTCCTCCAGATGGTGAACAGGGAAGGATGCTAAAACTGTGGCCAATCATTTTCAGGGTAATGTCTACACTTTATTTATTCAGGCCATGCTGCCTCCTATCTGCCCTGGTAGCAGAGAGTTGCATTTACCAAAGATAGGCTTTTATATTTACACCCTTTGCTTTGGAAAATATAATATTCAGATTCTAGACTGGCATCGTTAGTTGGAACAGTAGGTACCATAGATACTGACTTATTTGTTAAGTGCTACATGAAGCTCTTTATGTGTTTAAACCATTTCATCCTCAACTTTTTTGGGGTGGGTATTTGTTTCCCTCACATCTTACTGGTTAGTAAACAGAGAGGTTAAGTAATTTATCCAACATCACACAGCTAGTAAGAGGTGGAGAACTGACTTGAATCCAGGAACTTACTCTGGCCAGTCTAACTCCAAATATAAGATCTTGAGAAGGACCTCTGAGATCTTCTTGGGAGGTGTGAAATAACAGGAAAAACAATCTATATATCTATATCTATATCTATCTATATATAATCTATATCTATATCTACCTATATCTATATTTAGATCTATATCTACATTTATATCTGTATCTATCTATATCTCCCTTCGGCTCTCGGCACAGATCTCCTAAAAATCTTTGTAATTTCCCAAGTCATAAAAGCACTAAAAACATCTTTTGTTCTAATATTTGATCCTTGGGGCGCCTGGGTAGCTCAGTCGGTTAGGTGTCCAACTTCGGCTCAGGTCATGATCTCAGGTTCTGTGAGTTCGAGCCCCGGGTCGGGCTCTGTGTTGACAGCTCGAAGCTCAGAGCCTGCCTTGGATTCTGTGTCTCCCTCTCTCTCTGCCCCTCCCCTGCTCACACTCTGTCTCTCTCACTCTGAGAAAAATAAATAAACATAAAAAAAATCTAATATTTGATCCTTGATCCTGGTTCCTAACACAGAGCTCCTAAGTCCTGTGGAATCTCTTGAATGACAGGAGTATCTTTTGAGGCAACTTTTGGTGGGTTCCAGGGTGGTTTCAGGCTTCTTCCATCTTCAAAAAAAAAATCAGTATTTTCCTTTCGATGGCTCCCACGCCAGCCTTTGCTGCCCCCTTATTGGCCTACAATTCCTGTCCAGGTCTGAAGCCAGGGTTTCTCAGGGGTGTCCAGGGGAACCATTTCTGTGGGATATTAGTAGGTGTGGTGCTCAAATAAAATATCCCACGGCCAAATACATTTGGGAAGTTATAGATGAAATGAAGTGAGAAGGAGGCTTTTCTATAGGAATGTCTTTTAATTGGATAATATGACCTGAGACTTTAAACTAGAAGCCAAGTCGGTAGCATTTTGCAAACTTATGTGATGGCAGAACCCTGTTCCAAAGAGCGTATCAAGGAACTGGTGTTCCATTGAACACATCTGGGGAAACACAAACCGAAGTATAATGGATCCTACCCGTAACAATAGGGGTCTATAGTTCAAGTCAGGTCTCATGTATCTTGGTATTTAGACCCTCTGCCTCAGGCGATTTGGTTCTGGGGGTGGCTTTCTGCAGGTGCGGACCATTCCTAACCTCTGACGTTGACGACTCCTTGTCCTTTGTCTGGTCTGGGCCACTAGTCCTTCCTCCTCTGGATCTCTTCAAGACTTAACAACAGACTGTATTTTGTGGACTCAACCCTGTTACCTTTTATCTTGTTGCTGCCTTACCCTGACGGAACAAAAATGCCCCCCTTCATTCGTTGAGTGTGCCCATTTACGGCATTAGTTTTAGATTCAATCCAACACTCCAAGTAAAGCGTGGGTGTGGGACAGTGTCGGTAACATAAAGAGGCAGCTCTTGCTGGGCTACTTAAAAATCAATAAAATACAGTGGAGTCACTATATGGACATTTATATCGTGTGAATTCAACTAGACACACTTAGCTCCCTGGCCCCAGATAGGGAGAAAAAAAAGTTTAAGTGCAAGGTAGTTAGATTTTATGTTAGGGGATGCCATTACTGCAGGCCTCTCGTAATTTACAACTTGCATAATCCAAGATTAATTTTCCATAAAGCTGGCGAAGGAAGGCAGGCGTTTCTTTGCTGTCTGAAGAGGCAACCTCAGAAGCGGTAGCAAAAACATGGCTTCCAATCCACCCAGCCTTCCCGCTTTGAAATGGTGTGGTTGCGAACACACACACACACACACACACGCAAATTTCTTTTCATTTCGATTGTTTCGGATGCTGCCAATCATGTGAAAATGTATTAATATTTTACGTTGCACTCTTCCACATTTGCACAACTCTTTAATAAAGTGCTACCGCCATGCACTGTGTCTGTTTTCCCCCACGACCCCACTCTCATTTGTACAGCGATTTAATCTGTTAGGAGATCTGACTGCTGCTTTTGCCTTTCCCGTGTGCCTCTCACAGTAGAAAATATCACTCCGTCCTCTATCGGCAAGCCAACTATTTCATCTGGCCTCACCCAAAGAAACTGAAATCTACTAAACGCTGGAAAAATGGCTACACTCAATTTACTGAAAGTTATGTCACTCTCCGAAATGTCATGGCGTTTAAAGGGATTTTCAAAGAGAATTTTGAATATCCGTGATTCTTCTCTTCATGTGTTACCTCCCATATAAGATGTGACTCTACTTGGAAAGAATTGGGCTTACATATTGCCAACCTAGCGTCCACTACTCCCTTCTTTTTATTTATTTATTTCTCTTAGCTCCAAAGGCTGGGAAGTCCAAGATCAAGGTGCCAACTGATTTGGTTCCTGGTAAAGCCTCTCCTCCTGATCGCAGACAGCCCCCCTTCTCGCCGTCTCACTATCCTCACATGACCTTCCCCTGGTATGTGCACAAGGAAAGAGATCTCTCTCTTGCTCACTTAATAAGGCCACCGATCATACTGGATGAGGACCCCACCCTTATGACCTCATTTAACCTTAATGGCATCCTAAAAGCCATCTCCAAATATAATCACACTGAGGATTTGGGCTTCAACACAAGAATTTTGGAGAGAATTTTGGAGAGGAGTTCAGTCCACAGTGGATAATATAACAAATGACCTTATGTTATTTAAACGAGTTTAAATGGATTTTTCTGTTACATATTACCACATGCACGCCGTCAGATAGCATATCTTATGAAGCAATACACAAAGGATAATGTCTAATTCGTGGCATACAACACAAGAAGATCAAGGGCCATTCTCCTCTTCTTAGAACAAAGCAGTTGTAGAGTTAAAAATAGTTAGTCCATTGCTGTTACAGGGCATTTCATGAACTGCCGATTGTACATATATGTGGTATCATGTTAACATAAACAGTCTGGCCCTGAGGGAGTCTTAAGTTATAAAAGAAACATTTTTCTAAGATCATGTGCTCTGATATAAAAACCATACCCCAGCCCAGTTCTGTCATTATAAAGTTCTGGCAAGCCGGGAAACGTTAGTTGGTGATTTTATCAAGCGAGACGTCTAACTAACGGCTTGATGAAACCATCCCCTGCACCATAAAACAACACAACAAATTGAAATGACGATTCCTTTCAAGAATTTAGTCATTTTCCATCATTACAGTTTATTCTTCAAGAAAAGCAGTATCTCAGGGACCATGCTAATCCTACAAATAAGAATACCCTTTCTCCTTTATTCCTAAGATGAGCATCATGTTTATTCTAGCAATTCAAATCTAATTTTAATAACAACCTTCCACAAAAAAATGTGGAGTGGAGATTTTAGCCCTAGTATTCTAGTAAAGCTCTTACGAAACATTTTACCTATCATTGTCGTTATATTGTAGACAGAGTAATTTTGTGTAGTCGTCCGGATGACAGTTAGGTAAATAAAATTATACGGAAGTGAAGGGTTTTCGTAACACAGTCAAATTCACTTTTTTACTTCTAGCCTGGGAAGTGGAAAGAGCAGCGCTTACCAAATTTTAAAAAGAGCCAAACGAACAAAACACAATGAGTAGAGATACTTCTGCATATAGATCGACCCATATTAAAGCAATCACACTTGGGCCATTTTGAAATCTTCAAACTTCTGACACGATTTTCATGAACTTGGTAATACGAACCATGTGGGGAATGATTTTCTGAAAAACTTTGCTGGTTGCACTGTGTATTTTATTATTGGCCAAATGTGACATTAAATTTTATCCCCTGTGGCTTGGAGTTAAATGCTTGCTCTGTTCAGAATGGCAACACTCAATTAAACAGCATTTTTCGTGATCTACACCCACCATTGTTACTGTATTTAAGGGAAATAATGGGGGTACTGACCTATATTGCGTTTCTTATTATCGATGGAGATGAAGCGTGTGCAGGGATTACTGGTGATGTACTGTCCAGCCCAAGGGACATCAATCTTCGTGCCAGCTTCATAAAAGAGGCCCAGGGCGTAGCGAGAAGAGTAGCGCACAGACTCCAGTTGCTGCCTTTGGCATTCACTAATTACTGCGGGAGAAAAAGTACAGGGCATCAAACTTGAAAACATCATCTTTCCTTTTAGTGCATCAAACACAAAACCCCTCTAAGCCAGTCCCAACCGTGCCCCTCACCTCCGTCTCACTCATGATGAATGTTGAAAGGCAGTGCAAGCTAGCGTCAGCTCTGATTTCTTTTCAGAATGATCACTGACCTTGGCACAACTGCTTTTATCAAGCTGGAAGTCCAAACTCTAGACCAGCATTCAAGGCTCTCGAAATCTGACGCCAAGTTGCTTTCCTAGCTTTGTATCCTAGTTATTATCTGACAACATTAGAAAATCCTTATCCTGAGCATTTTCTGTGAGACAGGGTCTTTGCCAAACGCTCGATATAGGCCTTTCACTGTATCTTAACAACCACCGTATAGAGAGTGGTATTTGCATGTTCCCGGTAAGAAGGCTAATGCTCCATTCCTTATGGACCGCTTTAAATTCTTCCACGTCATATAGGGACTTATTTATCTGTCACCATTCTTGCAGTGGATCAGAACAGTTCCTTAAGCACGGTGACCATGCCTTAGGCATCTCGGTCATAGCCTCTACCCTACTCATTATACTACTCATCCAAAAACGAAAGGATAAAGGAACAGAAAGGCAAACACAGACACACAAAGTTAGTTAAAATGTAAGAGTTAAATATAGCAAAACCTTGGTTTGCAAGCATAACTCGTGGTGGAAACATGCTTGTAATCTGAAGCACTTGTCTGTCAAAGTCAATTTCAAGAACGATCAGCTCAGTGGTGATCACGTGACGTTCACTGTCGCAGAACGAGCTACTTGCAATCCAAGGTTTTACCGTAATCAATCAACAAATGGAAAAAAAAACCAGGAAAGGAATTAGGCAGGCTTGGGTTCAAATTCTGACTCTACCATGTGACATTGGTCAAGCTACTTATCCCTTTTTTAAAAAAAAATTTAGATGTTTTTAATTTATTTTTTGAGAGAGAGAGCGAGAGAGAGAGAGAACAAGTGGCGGAGGGGCAGAGAGAGAGGGAGGCACAGAATCGGAAGCAGGCTCCAGGCTCTGAGCTATCAGTACAGAGCCCGATGCGGGGCTCGAACCCATGAACTGTGAGATCGTGACCTGAGCCAAGTCAGACGCTTAACTGACTGAGCCACCCAGGTGCCCCTCAAGCTACTTATTCTAATTATAGTCTTCTTGTCTATAGGTGCCAATAATAGTACAGGATGTTGTTAAGTCACATGAAACAATACATAGCACAGTGTTTGGCATAGGATAAGGGTTCGCTAAATAGTCACCTTTTCTATTATAGAGAAGAAAATGTTTAGCGGGGGCATTGTTCCATGTTGGGATGGGGAGGGAGGAGATTTCCCTCGCTTTTCAATCTCCACCTCCAATCTTCCTACCCTCAAGGGTGTCAGGGAATCGCTTGTTCATATCTGTGCTGCATCAACGATCTGGGTTTCAGAGGCCATAGTTCTATTCCAAAGGCTTATGTGGGATGGCTCAGATACGGAACATACACGTTTTTTTCATTGAATTATTGAAAACAATCCTAATCTAAAACGGAAGGGATAGGCAGACCTCAGGGCTGGGGAGTGCTTTAGCTAAACCTTAGGGAAGTGGCTTTAGGAGGTAGACAGAAGGTTAAGAACGATATTCAATGAATTATTTAAGGACACTAAGAACCCTATACATTATCATAGTGTATTCTTGGCTACAAAACATTTTTAGAACTGAGACCTCATTGAATCTTCACAAAAACCCTGACAGGTAGGTGTTTTTTCCATCCTCATTTTACACCCCCAAGGAGACGATGTTCAGAGAGGTTAAGCGACTTGCCCTGGGTTACACGGCTTCCAAGTTGTGTGGCCAACGAAACTCCCACATCGGAGTCCTGTTTATATCCTGGTTACTCCGTGCTCTGACCTCCTGAGCCGTAAGGCTGAGCTGCAGAACGAACATTGGCACCCATTTCTCCTGTGACATTAATGGTTATTTCGCACTCAGCTTAGAAGTAAAAGCATCATTCCTTTTAACCATCATTTTCGGCCTTATTAAAAGATTGAATTGTGTGATGAACGAATGATCTGACGCTGGCCTTGGGACACTCAATGTCTCTTGGGTTTCATTTTATTATTTGACCTGCTTCTGCAGTTACAGCTGGATGTTATGCTTCCTGCTTTCTGAGAGGGGCGAGGGGAAGGACACCCTTAGTGAGGGTGGAGCATGTGGCAGGTCTGCGTGGGCTTATCGCGGTTGCGCGTTTGATCGGTTAAAAAACAAAGCAACAAAACTGTCCTCGGCCAGGTAGTAACTGAAAGGGCCTAAAACTCTCTCTCTCTCTTTTTAAAATTTTATTTTATTTTTATTAATATGATAATAATTTTAATAATTCTAAAATTATATTTATAAATATAATAATTAATTTTTATTAATATGTCAAATTGGTTTCCATACAACACCCAGTGCTCATCCCAGCAGGTGCCCTCCTCAATGCCCATCACCCACTCCCCCCCCCCCATATTTAACCGAACTGAAGGGCCAACCAGGCTGACAACCAAACTGGACCTCCCCCTCGCCCTCCCCCTCCCCAACATTTGCACATTTAACCAGGCTTTATTTATTTTTTTACTCATTTTCTAAATGTTTATTCATTTTTGAGAGAGAAAGAGAGAGCGCGAGCCGAGGAGGGGCAGAGAGAGAGGGGGACAGAACATCCCAAGTGGGCTCTACGCTGACGGCACAGAGCCCAGCGCGGGGCTCGAACCCATGAACCTCGAACTCACTGACTTCATGAAGCCGAAGTCAGATGCTTAACCAACTGAGCCACCCAGGCACCCCTTAACCAGGTTTTAGACAAGCTACGGAGGGGCAGACAGTACTGGGTAGCTCTGTGAAAAGGTAAAACTTGTCAGTGTCTCCAGACACGGGAGTCAGATGTAAACGGGAGCCCCACGGAGGACAGGGAGGCAGGACTTCTGATGGAAACAATCTCAATCTCTGGACACATTCACCTACAAAAATTCATCTTCAGGACCTGAAAAGTGTCGAGCTGTTGTAGAACCTAACAAAATGGTGTTATTTTGTTTGAAAATTTCTTGGGGCGCCTGGGTGGCGCAGTCGGTTAAGCGTCCGACTTCAGCCAGGTCACGATCTCGTGCTCCGTGAGTTCGAGCCCCGAGTCGGGCTCTGGGCTGATGGCTCAGAGCCTGGAGCCTGCTTCCAATTCTGTGTCTCCCTCTCTCTCTGCCCCTCCCCCATTCATGCTCTGTCTCTCTCTGTCCCAAAAATAAATAAATGTTGAAAAAAAAATTTAAAAAAAAAAAAAAAAAAAAAAAAAAAAAAGAAAATTTCTTCTTATGCAGAATACTGAAGGGGGCATCCCCAGGTCCCCAATACATGTATTTTTGGCAAGTAAAATGATAGGTTTTTTTACTAGCACGTATTCAAAAGGGCCGTATATCCGCAAAACAAGGCTCATAGAGAAACGCCCGATTCCAGTATAATGCGTCTTTACCTGGATGTCCCCCTCACTTGATTCTTGGCCACTAGGATCGTATGACTGCACTGCATGGCAATGTGTGATGTGTGCCACATGGAGGAGATGAATGACAGAGAGAGAGGGAGAGAGAGACGAACCTGAGCTGCGCTCCTGAATAACACCAAGGGAGTGATTTCAGCTTTTTGCTTCCTAACCTGTGAAAGAAGGCTGCACATACAAATTCTGCGTACTTCTCATGTTTTCTGGTGATGATCTCATTCATCCATCCATTGCCTACTTCGTGCCGGGCACCGTTCTCGATGTCAGGGCCATAAAGCAGAAAGCGAAAGTCCCCGCTCTCGTGTAACTTACATACTAGTGGTGGAGAGGCCAGTTATAAATCAATAACCAAGTCAATGGCATGTCAGCTGGTGAGAGGAACTGTAAAGAAAAATGAAGCAGGATAAAGGGATAAAAGTGACAGGTCTGGGTGGTGAGGCCAGTTTATGTAGGCTGTCAGGGATCTACGTCTCCTCTGAGGATTTTATTCTGATTGACATGTGGAGTTACTGCTGGTTATGAGCCAAGGACGGATATCACCCAGATTCTGTTTTAAAGACTATTATCCCAGCCACAGGCAAAGACTCCAAGAGAGGAACTGGGCACACAGTGATTGGAATCATGTTAAAATGACACTCAGAGGAGCGTCAGAAGCGGTTACGGTTTGGATGGAATCTATGTGTGTGTGTGTGTGTGTGTGTGTGTGTGTGTGTGTGCACCTATGTGTGTATAAATACATATTTATATTCCATATTTTATACATGTGTGCATGATGTGTGTATATGTCGCACGTTTATAAATATATATCAGGTAATTTTCTTAATGTTTATTTATTTATTTTGAGAGAGTGAGAGAGCGTGCACGCTGAGCAGGGGAGGGGCGGAGAGAGAGGGAGAGAGAGAATCCCAAGGAGGCTCCGCACTGTCAGTGCAGAGCCCAATGCAGGGATCGACCTGACGAACTGTGAGGTCATGACGTGAGCTGAAATCAAGAGTTGGATGCTTAACCGACTGAGCCTCCCAGGGGCCCCTATCCTATAATTTGTAATCGACGATTACCATACATACCGAAAAGTATGCCTTGATGAATTTTCATAAAAATGTGCCAGCATAATCGCCAGCCAGATCAAAAAACAAACGGAGTATTACCAGAACTCCAGAAGCTACCTTCTCCCCACTTTTCAGGCACTCCCTGCCAAGGATAATCAGTGATTCTGAATTCTAACCCCATGGATTAGTTGAGTTGGTTTCAACGTTTTTTATTTATTTTTGGGACAGAGAGAGACAGAGCATGAATGGGGGAGGGGCAGAGAGAGAGGGAGACACAGAATCGGAAACAGGCTCCAGGCTCCGAGCCATCAGCCCAGAGCCTGACGCAGGGCTCGAACTCAACGGACCGCGAGATCGTGACCTGGCTGAAGCCGGACGCTTAACCGACTGCGCCACCCAGGCGCCCCTAGTTGA